GAATAAACCTGATTGGGCTCACCATGTGACTGAAAGAGGAGATATCAGATATAACACAACATAGTCAATGACTGCAGTTAATGTATTAGAAAGGGATCTAGTTCAAGGTGCTTTTTGGCAAGGAATGGTAGGTTTCTGTTAACGTAATCAAATGGTGTAGGAGTGTCTCAGCTTCAGAGTAGACTACTTAATTAGAGGCACAGCTAGTGTTAAGAGAACTGCCATTAAGCAGTACATATTCCTGCACAGCCCATGTGAAAAAGGGAATGTAGAAGTTTCAGGAAGTTTACAAGATTGAAAAGTTCCTATGAAAAAATTAACCATTTTCTGAATTCCAAAGAAAAATTAAAAGCTAGGAGACAATATATACCCTAAGTAGTGTTTTGTTAATAATTACAACGTACATGTTTGCTTGTAATGAATAGGTCAGATTTCTTTAAGAAGCCTCGTAAAAGGTTTTCCTTCATACATTGTAAATGCCCCTCAGATTTCAAGTAATTACAGCAATAATGAAGGCTAGAACAAAACACTGTATTTTTCACATAAAATTTACAGTATTCCAAGATAAATTTAATAAAATACAAATTACCATAATTACAGAAGATCAGAGCAATCACTTGTTTATTACTGTAAAAATTGTCTTGGTTATGTTTTAAAAGAGCAAGAATTGATATTGAAAAAACAGTAGCTTTCTGCCATTCCCATTAATACTGTTAATGACTATTTTACAAGTCCTTGATTGCAAAATAAAGGCAGATTACAAACTATAATTTTTCCAGTAGTGTAAGTTACAGTAGTATAAAGTTTGTTGCTTCTTAATATGTTATCATACCTAAATAATAAAACATATCATAGTTTGCTCAAAGCATCTCTGTTAACACAGACTGGAAGTTGTGTATCCTTCACCTTCCTCATAAAGACTCCCTCACTTTACTTCACTGCTGAGAGCTGTACCTTTCTTACGTGGAGTGCAGAAAACTCATTTCCCAACATAAGTATCAGAATATGTGAATTTTAAAACACCTGAAAATACAGAACTACAAATGTAGTAGGAGTAGTAAGTTTGACTGGAGCTTTTTGCTATCCATACTTTTTAAACACAGCACTGACAGTTTTAAAGTGGCTACTGGTTTCACTCCCGCTTCTCAAAGTTGATTACAACTTGCATGGGTTCTTCTCACTGTTTTATACCTTTCACATGAAGATACCCAAATATATTTTTATTTTTAAGTATACTTTATTTAACTTTTTTGTTTGTTTGTTTGGTTGGGGTTTTTTTTATGTTTACAGCTGAAGATGAAACTGCAGAAATGACAATGAAATGGAAGTATACGCTAACTGCTCATTAATTCAGACAGTGAAATAATAAAGAAATATGTAATTGCCATTCTTTAGCTGCAAATAAATGTGACTACATACCGACAGAATAAACATGCCAACATTCAGTTCCCCAAAGCAGTCTGCTTTGGTGATGAGATGATTTTAAAATCATCTAATTTTAATCATTTTAGGTGATTTTAAATCACCTAATCTGGAGCATCAAAAGTGATGCAAGAACACCACTTAGCCTACAGTACAGTAATTGCTTAGATATATCCAAGCCTATTGTAACTATTTTTTACTGTAGTACAGTTAGGACTAGAGCTATAGTAGCAAAGAACTCATCAAGATTTGCCACAATCTAGCTGGGAATAATTGCAGACTCATAGAATGGCTTGGGTTGGAAGGGACCTTTGAAGGTCATCTAAATGCCCCTGCTCTGCAGTGAGCAGGGACATCTTTAACTGTATCGGGTTGCTCGGAGCCCTGTCCAAGCTGACTTGTAATTTTTCCAGGGATGGAGCACCTACAACCTCTTTGCAGCCTGCAAGCAAGTTCTGCACCGTATGTGTTCACAGCAACCAGCGCAAGCAGATGCTGTGCAGGCCTACCCCTGACTTCTACAACATTCTTTTACAGTTGTACTCTGTTGGCAGTCTTGCAGATTTAGTCATATGAACTCATTACTTTTCAAAACACACTTTAGATTAATTGTCCTATAAATTGCATGTAATCAGAGCAAGAGTAACTGCTGGTAAGTAATGAACACTATGGATGAAACCTGAATTCACCTGTCAGCTCTATACTTAACCACACAGCACGTGACACCGGGGATCTCTGAGCTCTCAAGAGATTTTCAGAGCTCCATGCTTTCAAAAAGCAACCATTAGTTACACCATTACTCATCATCACATCAAAAAAAAGGTCAGTGGATTCCCACCTCAATGCACACAATTTCTATTAGCAGCTGAAATCCCACCGCCATTAATTTATACAGTCAACTCCTCAAATTATTGTATCCCAGTGAAAACTGCACAGAGGTCTTACACCAGGGACTGGTTAGCTTTTGTCTATAAAATTTTCACCACATTTCCATGGAAAATTCTGTTTGCAGCCACTTTGTTGATTTCTGAGAGGGCAAAAGCCCAGCCCCAAGGCAGCTCAATCCAACTCTCAGAAGTCAGCAGGGGCTAGGTAAGGATACTTCAAGCATTCAGAAAAACATTCCTTCTATAATTTTTCCATTAGCACTGAATTAGATCCCTTTGTTAGTGACATTTCAAGAGCTAAACAAAGAACAGGAACCTTATTTCATTCAAAGATTTTTACAAACAAACTTTTGGGAAATTAATCGAGATACAGATTTTAAAAAAAAGAAATATCAAGTCTAAGAACATTCATGTCCCCAAGAACACATACAATCCCTGTCATTTAAGTCCGAACTCAGGATAACACTTCTAAAGTAGATCTAAAATAAATAGGTGCCAACATTATGTTGCTAAAGCACAATCTGAATAAAGAGAGTCTGCTTTTCTCAGTTCCAGTCCCTGATACAGTCACAAGATTTTGATGAAGCTTTCACAATACAAAAAATAGCCAAACTAAAAAAGTGCCTTCTAACAGCTAATCGTGAAACTGCATCAGCTTGAACACATGTACACATGTAGACATGGTTGTTGTTCAGTGTATTCACCTAAGAACAGAACCAGATGATAATTTTATGTCTGTCAATTTATTAATAAAATTATTTCTATACAAATAAGAATAATTTTTTTCCTTCATAGTAACAATTCAGTGTTTTAAACCAGGAAGATCAAGATATTACAAATACTACTACTGTTAGATGTACTAAATCACAGGAGGTAGTTAGATTCCCATTAACAACTACTTCGGAAAACAAAAACTATTTTAAAAAAATTAGTAGAACATCTCATTCATGAAAATTTACTTTTTTGGAGTAACTCATTCCTAGCTGCTCTAAGAGATGTCCGTTTTTTAAGCATGATAAAGAACTTAGGATAGAAACATGTCCTCTCTGTTATCAACCTACCTTTGCAATAAGCACAAAAGGAAACTCCCAAGTGGTAAGACTTAAGAAAAACTGCAATAAAGCAGCATTTTAAATTAACAAAATTTTCAAATATATCATGAATTGACTACATCTTTTCCCTTACGATTAGATTTGAAAATTAATTCTACTAACTACAGTTTAAAAACATATCTACACCAATGAAATTATTGTGAAGCTTGTTTACATTGTTAATAATTGGCATTTTTGAATGGCATTACAGTGAATAAACATTATTATTTTTGTAATGATTTACTGCAAAATACAGGCACCTTAAAAACAGATACATAATATAACTAGGGCCTTTTCGACATTAGAAATGTTTATCATTACCTAGTCATGCTACATATTTCCCTTCTTTTAAAGAAGTACTCCACAACTTGAAGCCGTGCTTGAGGTGTGCAAATTATAATGTTTCAGCATTTAGCTCAATGTTCACATTTGATCTTTTTTACAGTTACAAAAACACTAGTATGCCAAGATTTCTAACTGTTACTACTGTTAAAATCTTAAGCAGATATTGTATCTTTGATAATGTATTCTTGCTATTGCACATATGCTCATATGATAGTGAAACTCTCCTCCATGTTCAATTTCAGTTACTTACACATGCCAAGGTAATTTATCTGCATACAATGCTGGAAAAGAAAAAAAATGCAGCCTTTCTTGACCAGTACACCTTGCTCCAAAATTTATGCCATGAAATTTCATAGAATACCAAGCTGGAAGGTAACTCGAAGATCACCTGGTCCAACCTTTCTTGCCAAAAGCACGGTCTAGACAGGATGGCTGATCACCCTGTCCAGCTAAATCTGAAAAGTGTCCATCGTTGGGGAATCCACCACTTCCCCAGGGAGATTATTTCAATGGCTGACTGTCCTCATCGGGAAAAACTTCCATCTTTTGTCCAATCAACATCTCCCCAAGAGTACCTCGTACCCATTACCCCTTTACTCTTCCACAGGACTCCTTGTAAAAAGGGAGTCTTCATCTTCTTTGTAGCAACCCTTTAAAAACTGGAATAAGTATTTTATGATTTTATAAAGAAGAGCCTGCCATTCAGTCTTTCTGCTTATACAGAGTCTGATTCAAAGACCACTGAAGCCACAAGAAGCCTTAATTTAATTCAGCATATTTTGGACTAGGTGTAAGTTTCAAACAGAAAAAGTTAAAAAAAAAGGGTTTATTATAGAAATTGATGTAACTGCACTTTGGATGCATTAAGATGCTCTCACAGTATCTCTTAAAAGTACAAAAAAAAATCCTTAAAAAAAAAAATCCCCTTCCTAAAACTTAAAAGTGTTACAGTTCAAGTTGAGCCCTAGGTGCATTTGTGAAATTTAGCCTCTATTAACTTAATAGTTTTTTTCCTTTTGGTCATGACACAAAAGCCCACGGTTATACACAACAATATCTACAACAGAAGAAGCATATTCTTGTCGTAAGTAGTAAAGTTATCACACAGGTGCATTTCCAAAATAGTTGTTCCTTCATATCCTTTTTTTAAACAAAAATGGTCTTTTCTGGTCCAGTGATACATCGTAAAGACAGTATTTTCCAAGCAATGAGTATGAAATAGGTTTCCAATTAACGTTCTTTAGCTTTGAGGACTTTAGGCATCTTCAAATATTTTGCTTCGAGACATTGACAGATATCTTCCACCAGGCTGGTACCTGCAGAATCAATTTTAAATATAAAAAAGTATAACAGGAAATAGAAAAACAAAGACCAATTAAATCATGTAACTCTCAATGCACTCTTACTCCTTAACTCTCAATGAGTTACAGAATCTGAAGTTCTACTGAATGTCTGTTTCCATGAGAATTTGACAGGCAGTCATTAAATTTAGTCACATATGACCAAGAAAAACAGTGAAATGAATATTGGGAGTCTTAAAGAACTTTCATTCCTGATACTAAGGAAAGAAGTTGAATGTTTGTGTTGAACAGAACTTTTTTAACAAACAAGACCACAAAAAAACCCCACAAAACCCCAAACAACCAAACAACAGCATCCAAAAGTCATTTAGGTGATTAACAGAACATCTCATTGGGTATTCCTAGAAGAACTACAGTATCAAAGATAATGAAAATAAATGGCAACATACTTCGTGGGAAAAAAGAAGCTTCACAAACTGTTCATCAAATATATTTTAAAAGCATATTAAAACCATAAATAAGTTCCAATGTAAGCACAATGTACTCCTCTCCCAAGTGCTTACCAAAAACTGGACACAAAGCCAGAAGCTCATGTCCCTTATGCTCTTAATGTTCTAGAATGCTTTTAACTCTTGCAGGAGCTATAGTTGTAAAAATCAATGTTACACAAGTTATTTATAAGTGAATTGAAATTTCATACGCCATTATGGTTGATTACTTCTATGAAATGAAAGACAGGTTGCTAAGAGAGAGCTCAGCTAAGGCCTGTGGCTCCAGATTTTCTTCTTAAATAAAAAGTTCAGAATGTTCCACTTTGCAAAGTCATTAGTGGTACCAGAAGAATTCAGAGACTGTATCTGAAAGGTGTTTGCTCCTACAGAATTTTATATGCATATTCCTATTTTTGTTGACTATTGTTCATTTCACACTACAGATGTCAACAGTTGCCAGAACTGTAAGGCTACTTCCTCTTCTAATTCTTGTCCTTGAAGAACCAACATTTGAAAGGTGGTGGCATTAGACTAGGCAAATTAGCTGTTGATACAAACTAACACTGCTGAATTTATCTAAAACCTGGCAGTGCCATCTAAAAGTGTTCTTTCCCTGTTTTTGAACTGGCATTTATTTGTTGACATTATATCTATAAGTCAACTGAGACAATTTATGATTTGTTACTGGATGAACTATGCTAGCTTTAGCTGAAAAATAACATCAGCTGTAACATTTTATAGGGGAATTGGTTCTACATCATAACTAGCTAGATTTAAAAAGAATACAAAAATTTATTACTTGTTTCTTAAATACAAGCAGAGCTTAGCAGTTATATAAGATACTCTACTTCACAACTAAGGAAATTTGGTGTTGCAGCCATACTCACAGAATTCTCTAGTACAAACGGAGCTACACTGTGTAGTCTGAGACTTTCTGTTCAATAAGTTCTGATTTCATTTGCTCCAGTAGTTCCAGGATCTCACCCCCAGGTGTATTCCTTCAACAACTGGTCCTGTCATACTCAGTTTTCTTTCTTGCTGACCTTTATGATGATTTTTATGCCGGGAAATCAAATAAACTTTCTAAAGTCTTGCAGGAATTTACAGAAAAATAAATTGTACACATGCAGGTCATTTTCCAGTTTTCTGGTTTTATATGTAGCATTTTTCAAATTATACCAATATAGAAAAATGTACTTAACATTTCTGAACAACTGAAAATCCTTCAGGTTTCTCTTGCTTTTAAAACAACTTCTGTACCATGGAGCAGAATTAAGAAAAGTGCTAAGTGAGACAATAAACTTTGTTTACAAAACTGTTATGAAAACCATCTGATACAGCCATTCCAAGTCAGAAGACATTAGTATCTTTTAATTGTAAGTAACACAGAAGATCGCTCACCTTCCCAAATCCGATTCAAGAGGGTCATCATTAATTGAGTCTGCATTAAAATCCAGAGGTTCTGCATCCTGGAGGAGTTCTATCCTGTCTCTTTCAGTCCTACCATTTGATCGGGTATACTTTGATAGTGCTGCATAGGCAAAAGGAAGGAAATAGACACATTTGCTCTATGAACACCTTGGAGCGTGTGGAGACACTAAACTTAAAAGACCCAAATAATAATTTGCTATTCATTCATTCAAAGTATAAATGCAATGATTTAGAATAGATTCAGTATTAAACCAAATCTGGCTACATGCTCAAATTTGTAGCAGTTAATTTTTGCTTCTCCATAACAATGTAACTACAACTTTTCCCTTGCCCCTCAAGCAGGTTGAAATCTACATTGCAAAAACTCAAAGAAAATGAGAAGTTACATGTAAACTTTACTTTATAAGTCAATAAATCATCCATTCATCTTGCCAACTTCCCACTTTAACTAAGCTAGCTAGAAGGTTTTTTTGGTTTTGTTTGGTTTTAAAGAGGCAGTCTCATGAATTAATGAAATAATAGTTGCTTTACAGTTCACTCTACCACCCTCACTAGGCCAGTACCCATGGCTTGCTCTGATGCTGGTTAACATTAAAACATAATTTCATGTAATTTCAGTTAGTCTACCACTGAAAATCTGGGTTTCCAACTTTTTAAAGGGGAAGGGGAAATCAGATCTTTTCAGAGTTGTCTAAAAACTGTGTTTAAAGCTTCCTTCCTCATCCTCTCCCTTTTTCCTTTATTTTTCAGTTTGATTTCATGGTTGTTGTTAGCTTACAAGCTTACATATTTACATTGTGCCAAACTTTTGGGAAGTTTAGAGCACCAACAGGGAAGTTTTTTGCTAACAGGCATTATTAAATGAACACATATATGCTCACTTGCAACTAGAAGTGGTAAATTTTAAGATTTAAAACTCCCACATTCTAGACGTATCCTAAATAAAGTCCAACCTCAACCAGTTCAGTGTTGAAGATGAGAAGACACACTGCACTCTTTTCAGGTGTCTTTAACAGGCAAGATGGCACTATGCCACATAAGGGAATATATCAATACATAATCTAAGACAAAAAGGAATACATTTGAATCTACTCAGACAGCCAGTGTTATGCAAACAAGATACTAAAAAAAAAAAACAAAGCCCTAAAACTCAAACAAAACTCCCCCCAAAACTTACATCTATTGGTACTGATCTCTGAGAAGCTGGATTCTTTTTGGACAACTCTGTTTCTAGTGGAATCGTCCCTGTTTCCATACCGTTCCTTCCATTCCTGGAAACAAAAAAAAAACACAAGAAAAAGAACACATAAGCTGTAAGAAAAATGCAATGCCACTAAAGCATATGTAGGATCAAGAAATATTCCAGATCCACAATGGAGAGCTAACTGGTCAATCACACCAGGCAATTAAAGTAGTATTTTGAAAAGTTTATCTTCTGTATCTTCATACAAGAAGAATTTTTATTTTGTTCCAAAATCAAGACATGTCCCTTCACTAAACTGGTTACCATAAATGTTCTTTAGAAAAAGACTTCCAGGAAACAAATTACATATTAAATCTGCACTCAAAGTTCACTTCACTGCTCTCAGTTACAGCAGG